AGAAAAGAAATGAAATAAATAAGTTGCTTTTTAGTATGTAGTGTATTGTGACAAATGAGTGCAGTGGGGAGAAATAAAGGATGGACTAAGGTATAAGGGGGGGCCAGAGACCTGGATGAAGGGTTGTTGCAATTTAAAATGGGGTGGTGGGAGGGAGAGAGATTTACTAAGAAAAAGAATTTGAATTTAGATCTGAAGAAGGCCTAATCTGCTGGAGGGAGCAGCAAGTGCAAAGGCCCTGGGGTGTCTTTTTTTCCCAAGAAACAGCAAGAAGGCCAGTGTTACTGGAGTGGAGAGAACAAGGCAGCATGGAGCAGGAGATAATATAGGAGAGGTGATGGCAGGTCAGATAACATTGGGCCTAATAAACCATTTTAAGAACTTTTATTTATAATCCTTTGGTCTAGATATTAATCTGTTTATCAGATTAATCAGACTGTATTGAACATCTATTTTATATCAGGGATTATATAAAGCAGTGGGGATACAATAGGTTTGTAATACTGGACTTCACACATAATACTTGCTTTTCAGTGGTTCATGTTATAGCAGTTTCCTTAATAACATAAATAAGAACATGTATTGAGCATATATGTGCCAGGCATAACCCTAAAGGCTAATGTATATTAACTCCTTTAGCATTCAAAGCAGTACTACAATATAGGTACTGTTACCTATGGCTGGGGAAACTGAGGCACACCAAGGTCAAGTGACTTGCCCAAGTTTACATGGCTGGTCAGTCATCAGCAGAACTAGGTTTCAAAGCCAGAGAGTCTCACCCCAGGGTTCAGCCCTTGACCATGATAAAATCTAGTCTTCCAAAAGAAGTAGACCCAGCCTCTTACAGAGATGCTTGTTTGAGGTGGGACAGCCATGCGGGGCAGTGTGGGGTGTGACACTTCAGAGTCTGACAGATCTAAGGTAGAACTCTGACCTCCCCTCGGATTTACTCAGGCAATTTACATAACTTCTTTTACCCTCAGTTCTTCTGATCCTTAGAAACAGGGAGAATAACACAAAAACACTATAAATGTACCTTATATAGGTACATTGTCAAGATTTAATTAGATGAAATGGGAACCACATAGCATGGTGTTTGGCCCAACCCTGGGAACTCAATAAATATTTGTTTTTTTCCCTTCACTTTCCATAAGTCACAAAACATCACCTAGTGATTACATATTCCATGCAGGTCTTCTATTCAAAGAGAATACTTGACCAAGTATGATTCTTCTTGTCTTACAGATGGATTTACAGGACAGGTTCTTAAATAGATGTAGCATCTTTTTCTCTTTCCAAGATGTGGAGGTTAAGTTTTGTTTTTAGAGCTAAATTGATCTGTTTTTCCTCCGGGTCAGTAAAAGCCAAGCATCTGTGCCAGGCAGAGCTCTACGCTGTTTACCTTTCAGTATACCACCTTCCCACATGCTGTTACTATGCTGTTTGCAAACGCTCTTGTAGCCTTGGGAGTGTGTTACTGTATTGAAAAGGCTTTTCATCCCAGGAAGTTGACCTGCTGGCTGAAGAGCTCACAGAACGTATTATTGTTTCCTCACGCTATATTTTTCCTGATTCAGCATATTATACCCATAGAGACAAAAAAAAAAAAAATATCATTCCCAGAAGTAGAAGACTTGTAAAAATGTAAATTCCTGCAGTGTGAAAGCAGAGGTAGTAACTGGCACCCACTGAGGGATTACTCATCTGTTTGTACAGTATCAGAGGCTAGCTGTCTAATTCTGTACCTAGAACATTGTCAGACGCCTAGCTGTGTAATTCTGGGCAAATTATTTAACTGCTCTGTGTCTCATACAACATCAGAAGCCTAGCTGTGCAATCTTGGGCAAATTACTTAACCTCTCTGTGCCTCCATTTCCTCTTCTGTAAAATGATATTAGTAATAGTGCAACCTCATAGGGTGGTACCAAGGATGAAATTAGTTAGTATATGTGAAGCACTTACAACACTAATCAGCACCTAGTAGACATCTAAAATATTTTACCATTACTATCTTTATTTTAAGTCTGGCATGGCATCTTGATTGTACATGTCTCCCTATGAAAGTTTAGACTACAGTTTGACTTTCTAATAGAAGAAACATAAACACTTGAGAAAAATAAAAATTTCATTTGTTAATGGCCACTAATGATCAAAATTAAAGACATAATCTATTAGGTAAGGCAAATAATTCATTTGGCTTGTAAATGGAGAATGGTGCTTGAATATGTTATTCTTTCCTTGTTGAGTATGTGTTGGTATTATAATATATTATATATAAATAATAAAGGTTTTACTCATAGGCTGCATCATTTGTTTTCTATAGAATTACGAAAGGCTGTTGTTTACAACTGAAGCCTACCTAAGAGCTGTGGAAAATGGGCAGTAAAATCAAGCTTTCGTGGAAGTACAGCATAAAAGCAACAATCATCCTATGACTTAATGCTCTCAGTATGTAGTTGAGTTAATAATCATTGGCACATAACTTCTAACAGTCAAAGCTGGCTGTTCACAGCTTACTGTAAACAAGAAGTATTTGCTCTCCTGGATTCAGAGCACGTTTCCTCTGACAATCATTTTGCTTCTTTTGTTCCCAGTAATCATTTTGGGACCATTTGTATTGTCAAGGAAGCTATAGTTTTACTTCCAGACTTTTTTTATTCCAAAAAAAGAGATGAGTTGAGATCTTGACATGTATTAAAACTTATTTTAAAGTTTGCTTGTAATTAAGGGTATTAGCTAATAATAATTTTGTACTTATTATGCAAGTACTATTACTTTAGTATTATACATTCACCATTTATTTTCCTCTCCTGCTGTATCTGTTACTCTGAAGTATCTTTTGGGCTTTTTTACCTTACTGGCATAAGGACTGAATTGAAGATAAAAATCTGTCAGCATTTATCCCTGAAAGAAGCTAAAGTTATAATACTGGTGATACTGGTTTTCTTTTGCTCATGAATAAATCACTGCCATATGAAAAGTGCAGTAAAATCATGAGCCAGTATTCAAAATGTTATATAGTATGGACAGATGAGTAGGATTCAACTTGGTGCACAGGGTGATGAGGCTGATGTTCAGAAGAACATTACAGACAGGACAAATGGGGCAAGAGGAGTGTGGGGCATCTGAGCAGCTTGAAGAAATGGGAGGCACATTGGTGGCTAGAAAGGTGGATATAGCCAAGAGATGCTGACCTGGCCATGGAAAGGATTTCAGTTCAGTCCTTATCCCTAAACAAGGATAGAAGGACCATTAATAGAATAGAAGGACCATTACAAGACCGAAAATACAGAAGCATTAAGTTTTGAGCAATAGCTAATATTTCCTTTGATCTCTTTGTCTCAGACGTTAAACTTGAAGTGTGTTTAGAAATGGCACTAGAATTATTCTTTTATTTCAAGTTTTTTTTTTTTAAATTTTATTTATTTATTTGACAGAGACACAGCGAGAGAGGGAACACAAACAGGGGGAGTGGGAGAGGGAGAGAGAGAAGCAGGCTTCCCGTGGAGCAGGGAGCCCGATGCGGGGCTTGATCCCAGAACCCTGGGATCATGACCTGAGCCGAAGGCAGACGCTTAACGCCTGAGCCACCCAGGCGCCCTCTTTTATTTCAAAGTTTGATGAGCAACCAAAATTATAGAAATTTCATCTTCCTATTGAGGCCTTGTTTAATTAATTAAACCTTGTTTAATACCAAACTTTGCTACCTCTCTCTTCTGCTTCCTCATTCTATCCTCCTTAACCCTATTTCTCATTTCCATGACACCATCTTCTTAACTACTACATAGTTTACTTATTTCCTGTCTGTATTATTTTTATCTGTATCACTAGAATTAAACTCTATGAGGGTAAAGGTCTTTATCTTGTTCTATGGTGAATGTCAAGAATCAGAAGAACCTGAGAATCATGTCTGGCATATAGTGAAGTACTCAATAAATACTTGTTTGATGAATGAAAATTGTGACTAAGCCTTCCCTTTGCATCGAGTGAAGTTATTTTTACTGTATGTTTAAAGGTCCGTGTTATACATACATTCTATATTGGAAGACTCATGGAAATTATTTTCTTTTCTTTTTTTTTTTTTTTTAAAGATTTTATTTATTTATTCACAAGAGACAGAGACAGAGAGAGAGAGAAGCAGAGGGAGAAACAGGCTCCCAAGGAGCAGGGAGCCCGATGTGGGACTCGATCCCAGGACCCTGGGATCATGACCTGAGCCGAAGGCAGACGCTTAACCATCTGAGCCACCCAGGCGCCCTCATGGAAATTATTTTCATTAAGATTTCCATGCTTCCTCTTAGTGTACTTGGTACAAAAAAAATCTTGAGGAGGCAATAATAAAATTCTGGTTAAAATTATCTTTAATGGCTTCCCATTGTTTAGGGATAAGGACTGAACTGAAATCCTTTCCATGGCCAGGTCAGCATCTCTTGGCCATATCCACCTTTCTAGCCACCGGTGCGCCTCCCATTTCTTCAAGCTGCTCAGATGCCCCACACTCCTCTTGCCCTGTTTGTCCTGTCTGTAATGTTCTTCTGAACATCAGCCTCATCACCCTGTGCACCAAGTTGAACCATACTCATCTGTCCAGCTGGAGCTCAAGCAGCTCTTCCTCAGAGAAGCCTTCACTCATGACATTTATCACCATTTTGTAATTGCAGCCAAAGGATTGACCTTCCTTTCAGACCAGCCTTGACAAGGGCCAAGAACGTCTGTCTTTGCTTCACATTGTATCTGTTATCTCCAACACAGAGCCTGGTACCAGGTACAATCTTAAGGACATTTGATGAATGAAGGAATCGTTTGTTCTGTGTCAGCACTAGACCAATCAGAATGAAGCATGCCTTTACTGGCAGAGATTCTATTCAGGCCTGGGATGAGTTTACTGTCCTTCGTTTCCTTCTCCTTAGCCTCTCTCTCTGCCTCCCTGCCATCCCTGCCCCCACTGTGGAAAGCTGACTGAAAAATTGCCTTCGTTATCAGTTCTACTGCTATTATTACCACTTAATAGAAGTAGAGCAAGAAAATACAGATATCAAATAATTCGGTATTTCTGAAAAAGGCACTTTATAAAGGCTTATGTTGTTCTGTGTTTATGGGTTCATACATAGTCTCATTGGATAAGACAAGTACCCTGATAATAAGATAAAAACCTCTGTGATATGGCAGTTACCTACAAAGATGAAATCCACTGTTGAACTACTACAGTCTGGATTGTTGCCACTAAAGGAAGCTTTCTCATTTGCATAAAGACAAATGCTGATGTATAAAAAATAGTGGAATGGTGACTGGTTTTACCTTGATGTTCAGCAGGATCAATAACATTAGTCTCTCAGTAATTTTCTTCTTAAAATACCATCGTGTGAATGGGCATTTATGGACTTAATCCATTTTGTTTTACTATTTGTTGAAAGTTCTATGAAATGAAGTATTTTTTTTATTTTGCAGGGACCCCATCATTCACACTGCATGCTATGTGTATTGAGGAGTGGTTAATGGGGAGTCAGTTAAGTGTGCTCTAACTGTTGGCCAGGATCTGAATCTCAACATGGCTTTATATTTTCCTCTGCTTTTTGAGTATGCAGAAACTTTCCTGACTGAGTGTGGAGGATAAAGGTAAAGAGAAAATAAAGATATTCTTAGAAAGTCAAATTCTGTTTTGGTTTATATACACATGATGTAAATAAGCCCACTACAAAATTTAAACAGGGGAAAATTAAATTTAATTTCATATGTATGGGGAATCCACATAGACATGAGGTTCCCACTACAAATTTTTTTTTTTTTTAAGAGTTTATTTATTTACCACAGAGCTCTATCCCACGACCCTGGGATCATGATCTGAGCTGAAGGCAGATGCTTAACCAACTGAGCCACCGACTACGAGTTTCTTTTGGTGAAGAGTGATGCTTGATCATTTCAGTGAATTTTTCATTAATTGAAAAAGAAAAATTTAATAAAACTTGAGAAAGCAGTTAATTTGTGATATGAAGATACAAAGTGTAAGTTGTAAGATAGCCATCCGCCTGTGAAAAACATTTTTATATTGGCAAATTTGGGTATTCAGGTAGATCTCCAGAATATACCTGAAGAAGAGCCTACTATATAATCTACTATATAATCACCCATTGTTTTATCAACTGAAAGGAAAACAAATAAAGCTAATATTATTATTAGTCATAAAGTGAATTTGACTCAGTGCAATAGTGATGTTTAAAACAGTGCTAAGGGAAAATTGAAAGTAACTGCAATACTTCAGCCATACATTCAGATATGATAAAGTACTGTTAATCTTTGCCATCAGATTGTTCCTAATCACCACAGGAATAGCTCAAGACAATAAACAATGTCTTAAGAGAGGCCTGAGTCCTGCAAGTTCACAGGAAGATGTCTCCTCTCCCTGCTACAATCAAGGGGTCCTTGGCAGGACTAAGCTGGCCCTGACGTTAATGCATCCGTCTTCAGGAGCTTAAAGACTCTGCCTTCTGAGGTTGCAATCTGTTCTCTAACCAATTGGATATGAAGTGTATGCTAGCCCAATGCACAAGCTAAGACCCTTAGATCCTGTTTCCAAGCTTGCCTTGGAATTCAAATCAATCATAACTCCTTGTAAGGTCACTCACTCTGCATTCTGTGTCATCAGTTTTTCTGTATTATCAACAGGGCTAATTAAAGAATTCACTTTAAGAGGATCCATATGCCTAATCAGTTCAAGTCTGCAAACAATGATTTGACGGACTACATGTTATAGTTGGACCTAGGTGCTAAAAAATGGTAGCATTAGAAATTGTAGGCACGGGGCACCTGGGTGGCTCAGTTGGTTAAGCGACTGCCTTCGGCTCAGGTCATGATCTCAGGGTCCTGGGATCGAGCCCCACATCGGCCTCCCTGCTCGGCAGGAAGCCTGCTTCTCCCTTTCCCACACCCCTGCTTGTGTTCCCTCTCTCGCTGTCTCTCTCTGTGTCAAATAAATAAACAAAATCTTTTAAAAATAAAAAAGAAAAGAAATTGTAGGCACTTGCTGTGTTCCAGCCATTTTACTGCATCATCTTAGGCAGTATAACAATATATTTAACCAGGAGGACCTGTACTATTGAATTTAAATCAAATGACCAGTGCAAATGTAAGTCTTCATCTCCAACAGAGGATTTACAGTGACATAAGAAAAAACAGGACTCAACAGTAATAATATTGCTATAGACTTTAGCAGTCAGATACAAGATGTCATCAACTAGTGCTGGATTTGATTTCTCTTGTTTTATGGAGGATTTCTGTGTTTATGTTTATGAACAATGTTGGTCTGTTGGTTTTAGTTCTTGTAATGTCTTGTATGGATTTCATATCAGGATAATTCTGATTTCTTACAGTGAATTGAGAAGAGTTCTCTGTGCCTCCCATTTTCTGTGCAGGTTTGGTATTTTTTCATTTTTAAATTGATAGCATACTGTGAGGCCATCTAGGCCTGGAGTTCTCTTTTTGGCAGGTTCTAAATTATGAATTCAGTTTCTTTAATAAATGTGAGTAGATTCTATTTCTTCTGCTGTCAGCTTTAGTAGTTTATATCTCTCAGGGGGAATTTGTCCATTTCATGTAAGCTGTTGGATTTCTTGGCATATGGTTGTCTATAATATTCCATTACTATCCACTTGCTATCTGTTGGATTTTGAGGGACCATCCTCTTTTTCCTTCACAATACTGGTTATTAATCTCTCCTTTTTTTTTGATCAAATTGCTAAAAATTTATCAGTTTTATTCATCTTTTCCAAAACCCAGGTTTTAAAAACTTATTTTCTCTATCTTTTACCTGCTTACTCTTTTCATTAATTTACATTCTTAATTGTTTCTTCACTTTGCTTTATTTGGGGCTTAATTTTTTCTTCTTTTACTAGGTTCCTAAGATGGAAGCTTAGATCATGTGTTATTGACTTCTTTATTAATAATAAGCATTTAATGCTATAAAATTCCCTCTAAGGATTGCATTAGCAGCATCGCATGAATATTGATTTGTGTAGTTTTGTGTGGTGATGTTGTAGTTTTACTATTACTCAATTACAAATATTTTCTAATTTCCCTTAGGATTTCTTCTTTGATCTCTGGGTTATTTAAACATATATTGTTTAATTCCCAATATTTGGGCATTTTTTAGATCTCTTTTACCAATTTCTAAATAACTTCCATTATGGTCAAAGAACATACTTTATGAGTTAAGTCTTTTAAAATTTGTTGACATTTGTTTCATGGCCAAGCATATGATTTATCTTCGTGACATGCACTGTGAGTTCAAAAAGAATATCTATTCTGCTCTTTTGGGTGGGAGTATTCTAGAAATATCCATTAAGTTTATTTGGTTGATGCTGTTGTTTAACTTTTCTATATTTTTTCCAATTTTCTGTTTACTTGTACTGTCTGTCAGAGAGAAGTGTTGACATCTCTAGCTATAAATGTGATTTGTCTGTTTTTCCCTTGAGTTTTTAGAGTTTTGACTTTAAGTATTTTGAAGTCTTGTGATTTAGTGCACACATATTTAGGGTTAGGTTGTTAGGTTCTCTTTGTGAAATCAGCTTTTTTATCATTAAGAAATAATGTTCTTTGTCCTTGGTCATGTCCCTTGTTCTAAAGTTGTGGCTGTCCATAGAGTTGTGCTATTCAAACTTCCTTTCCAAAAAGTAGTATACTTAGCCGGTGACTTCAGCTGCCATACTTGAGGGATCTGCTATATATTCCTGCTATAGCTATGCTCTCCCCAGGATGCTGCCAGTTCATGACCGAGCACAACATGATACTGGAGCTGGGCTGTTTTTGCCCAATGCCAGGTCTTCTACTGGGCAGTATCTGCTGGGGACAGCCCATCAGCCTGACTGAGACTCTTGTACCTGCACTGCAGCCTGAGGCCCTTCCAACCCAAATCTTCTTTCTCCTCCTCTCCTTTCACTGGTGTCAGATAGCATTCATCCCTGAAGGTCTTTTCCTGTCCAGTCTTGCTCTCTCTTGCCTTTGTCTTGCACAAATGTCTCCCCAAATAAATCTCCTGAACCTCTGATTTAGTCTTGACATCTGCCTCCCCTAGGACACAAAGAGCCACAGAAGTCTGCTTTGTCTGAATTAATGTCCATCCAAGCTTTCTTATGATTAATGTTTACATGCTAAACAGTCCATCCTTTTACTCTGTGTCTTTATAACTAGTGTGTTTCTTTTTCTTTTTTCTTTTTAAGATTTATTTATTTATTTGAGAACGAGAGAGAGAGAGAGAGAGCGTGCGAGCAGGGGGAGGGTCAGAAGGAGAGAAGCAGACTCCCCGCTGAGTGTGGCACCCCACCCAGGACTCTATCCCAGGACCCTGCGATCATGACCTGAGCCAAAATCAAGAGTCAGAGGCTCAGCCGACTGAACTATCCAGGTGCCCCTAATTAGTGTCGTTGGGTTTAATATACTATCTTGCTATGTTTTCTATTTATCCCATCTGTTCTCCTCTTTCTTGGCCTTCTTTTGGATTACTTAAGTATATTTTTTATTATTCCATTTATCTCCAGTCTTGTCTTATAGCTGTTTATCCATTATTTTTAGTGGTCACTGCAGAGTTTATGATATGCCACTTTAGCTTATCACTTTTCACCTTCAAATAATATATCACTTCATGTGTAATGTAATAACCTTATGATTTTATGCTTTCATTTTCTCTTTCCCGTCCTTTGTGTTATTGTTGTCATGAATGTTAGTACATATATCAAAAACCTTATAATAATACACTTATTATTTTTGTTTTTAAACAATTTTATTTTATTTTATTTTTTTAAAGATTTATTTATTTATTTATTTGACAGAGAGAGACACAGTGAGAGAGGGAATGCAAGCAGAGGGGGTGGAAGAGGGAGAAGCAGGCTCCCCACTGAGCAGGGAGCCCGATGCGGGACTTGATCCCAGGACCTTGGGATCATGACCTGAGCCGAAAGCAGACACTTAACAACTGAGCCACCCAGGCGCCCCTTAAACAGTCAATTTTATTTTAAAGAAATAAAAAAACAAGGACATACTTTAATTTTACATGTGCTCACAAATTTACAAATGTCCACACTTTTAATTCTTTTGTGCAGATCCAAGTTTCCATCTGGAATTATTTTCTTTCATGAAAAACTTGCTCTAACATTTCTTGTGGTGCAGATCTGCTGGCCATGAATTCTTTTTACTTTTGTTTGTCTAAGATAGTATTTATTTAGTCTTTGTTTTGAAGGAGTTTTCACTGGATATAGGATTTTAGGATGACCTTTCATTTTTCTTTCAGTACTTTATTTTTTTAAAGATTTATTTATTTGGCAGAGAGATAGAGACAGCGAGAGAGGGAACTTAAGCAGAGGGGGAGTGGGAGGGAGAAGAAGGCTTCCTGAGGAGCAGGGAGCCTGATGCAGGGCTCAATCCCAGACGCCTAAATGCCTGAGCCACCCAGGCTCCCCTCTTTCAAGTACTTTAAAGATGTCATTCAGCTACTCTTTGCTTGTGTTGTTTTAATGAGAAGTTTGCAGTCATTCTTACTGTTCTCCTGTACATTATGTCTGTTTTTTCCATTCTGCCGCTCTTGATGTTTCCCTTTATCTCTGGATTTTAGCAATTGTGTCATGATATTTGCCTGGCTGTGGTTTTATTTGTATTATCTTTGTTGGGGCTCATTGAGTTTTTTGGATTTCTAGGTTGTAGTTTTCATTGAATTTGGAAAAATTTCATCCATTATTTCTCTATATCATTTTTATCCTCTGACCCCTATCCCAGGACTCCAATAACATATATGTTAGATCACTTGATGTCATCCCACAAGTCACTGAGGCTGTTCGTTTTTTTGCAGCCTTTCCCCCTGCTCTTTGTGTTTGGCTGTTGTCTATATTGTCTTCAAAGATACTGGTCTTTCTGCAGTTAATATCCTGATAATCCCATCTAGTATATTTTCATTTCAGATAATTTTTCATTTCTGTAAAGTCTCATTTTTAAGTTTTCTATTTGTTTCCTCATATATTTCCTTTAAGTCCTTAGGTATGTTGAGCACATTTATAATTGTTCTTGTGTGCTGATTCCTCAACTATGTCATTTTGAATCTGTTTCTCTATCTTCATTTTCCTGCTTCTTTGCATGTGTAGTATTTTTTTTAATTGAATGCTAGATTTGTGATTTGTTTGCTTTTTTTTTTGAATATAAAACTATTTATTGACCACTGTTTACCAGTATTTACAATAAAGTAAACAATATACAGTTGGATAACATTCTGACTACAAAGTTATTGTTTTTCCTGGTTTCTGCTGAACCAGTAAATCAAATACTGAGAAGACTGAGCCTACATGTCAGGAACGAGTTGGGATAAAGAAAATACATGCAGGTTAAGAATTTGGATTATAAAAGTCTGTCCACCCATTTATTTCAGCAGGAGCTAAATTGCCAACATCTCTAACCATCTGATTATGATTAGGTTTCCATGAACAAAGTCTTAGACATTCCATGAATCATGACCTCTTAGTCAATACAGCACAGAGATTTCAACTTCTTGAAAAGGAATGGTTCACTAGAAGGAACCTTTAAATGTCCATTTAACTAAGTTTTGCTTACCTAATTAAAACACACCAGGACTTACCTAGTTTTGTCATTTGGGTGGGGAGGTTGTTGGTGGTGATAAAATTTTCCTTTTAGGGAACTTGCAAATGAACTTGCATTTATGACTGTAGATATGAATATGGATTCAGATATTGCTGCTTTTAAATTGTCCAATTTAAAAATTTGAAAGGTTAAGGCTTCAGGAAAAACTTGTTTAACTTTAAGTGATTTCTTAAGTTGCTGAAAATGATAGCATCCCAGAAACATGGGCTTATCCATGGTTATAAATGCTGTTTTTGTTTTGGTGAATGTTAAAAAAACAAAAACCATTTATGTATGTATTTTAAGTATACACACAAAAACCCCCTAAATAAACAAAAGACCCAGAATGGTCCTCAGGCATATAGGAGTTAAACACAAATTCTTTTTTTTTTTTTTTAAAGATTTTATTTATTTATTTGAGACAGAGAGAATGAGAGACAGAGAGCATGAGAGGGAGGAGGGTCAGAGGGAGAAGCAGACTCCCCGCCGAGCAGGGAGCCCGATGCGGGACTCGATCCCAGGACTCCAGGATCATGACCTGAGCCGAAGGCAGTCGCTTAACCAACTGAGCCACCCAGGCGCCCCTAAACACAAATTCTGACTGAGTAACGACTATGAAATTTCCCCCAACATTTAAAAAGGTGTTCTCTAATGCAGGGGGATAATATACCATGGTCTCAAATATTTTTTTCTGATAAAGGAAGCAACTACAGAAAGCTTTTATTTGTTCAAAGTAACCAGTGCTATAGATGCAAAAAAAACCCAACAACTCCCCCAATACTACTTCAAAACAAACGTATCAAACGTGATTTTCATTAGAATGTTATTTCTTCACACTAATAAATCAAAAAAACAAAGACCCAGATTTTATATATATATATAAAAAGCAACGCAAACAATTATTGAGCTTCATCTTCTGGACAAGAATGCTAAGTTAGTCTCTCTTCATAAAAAGCAATTACAATCTGAGGACACTTCATATTTGCCTCTTTTGCCAGCACCAAGTCTGCCTCATCTGAATCTTTCCATTTCATGAGAAACATTAATTCTCCACTGCTGTCTGTGGCACCAATTATTCGTTCAGGATCAAGACCTCTGGCAAAGCCTCTTGGTTTATCAGCAGCATCTCTTTTCTTCTTTGATTTGCTATGATCAGATTCACTGTCAGATAAAGATTTTCTTTTTGTACCATCTTTTTCTTTACCAGCTTTTTGAGAATTAAGAAATGCTTCAGTTAACTCTGGACAATCTAAATTTTCTTCAGGTTCCCAAGTATTGTCAGCATCTGTAAATCCCTTCCACTTCAGGAAATACTCCACCTTCCCATTCACTACACGTCAGTCCAGTACTTTTTCCACCACAAATTCTTCAGGCTCTGCCTCTTCTACTTTTTTACTCTTTCCATTTTGTTTCTTTCCCATTTTTTGCAATGTAGTTTTATTGGAGGCCATTTTTTATTGCAGACTTGAAGAGCTATTATTCACCGCCTCCGAGCTGCTCCGGGTCCCGGGTCTGCGGCGTCTCCCTGATTTGTTTGCTTTTATTCAGTGTAAAGTTTGTTGTCTTTCTCTTAAAAGGTTTGTTTGGGCAGGTCTACAGTAACCTTTAGACATATTACTAAACTGATACTTTAAAGTTATCTTACTACTAAAGACTCTTCTGGGGTTGGGACCTGAACTCCAGGTGCTCAACACAGACTTCCTGTTCTAGCTATTAAAAACCCAGGTGTCTCCTAGCTCTTTGTGATATCTGTGAATCATTTAACTTAAAGATCCTCATTCGTTTTTTGTCTAGCATTATGAAGTTAACCCTGTTTATGTGTGACTTACCATTTAGCAACAAACTCAAAGAGACCCTTATTTGGATTTCTTGAGCCCTGCATAGCTTCTTCCTGTCTGGTATTGTCCTAGAAAATTTCATCTCCCTTAGCCTCTGTGACCTCTATTCTGTGTCCCCTTAGCTCAGTGAGACCACAGTATTCTTGGGTTTCCTCTCACTACACTTCCAGTCTGGAATGTGCATCCAGGATGAAAGCTGGGATAACTGTAGGATTTACCTCAGTTGTTCCCTTTCTCTCAGGGATCACATCTTTACTTTCTTCTAATATTTATAAGCAGTTTTTCACATATTTTATCCAGTTTTCCAGTTGTATGGCAGGAAGGCTACTCCATTCCCAGTTAATCCGTCATGACCAGAAACAGAAATTTTAGTTTTTATGAATATTCTGGATGTTTTCTTTTACATATTAAGGTAGCCTTTGAGAACATCTCTGTTGTTGAACAAGAAGCAATTTTTTGGGGAGGGAGAGAAGAGACTCCAAGGTCATTTACTATGCCCTGGATTGACACAGGCTGAGATTGGATGTAGGACCATGGTTGGGCATTTCAGAAAGAAGGCGGTATGGGAACTGGGAGATAAGCGGTGGCAGTGGCCCCTCTTCTTTCCAGGTACTCTCTCCCCAATTATAAGTCAAGGACAACATGTATATTCAAACTATCCCAAGACAGGAGTTTCCTGGCTAGAAAATTCTGTATCTCTTTTTTATGGATGGAATTGTCTTTCTCCTTTGGATGTCCATGGCAATTTAAGTATTTCTTTTAATCTTTTTCTTTTGTATCCGTGTTATTTATTGAGAACTTCAAAAGCCAGGTGCTCTGTTAAGGATTTGTACTCAAAATTTGTTTATTTTTCACCACTGTCCTAGGAGGCAGGCACTATTGTGATCTCTGTTTTATCCATGAGTAAAGCAAAGCGTAGAAGGATTAACTTTGCCCAAACTCACGC